TGGATCTCTGTTTTGTAGGAAATGTGGGTTGGTGTTGGGGTAACTTACTGAGCTAAGCACCATAGAAGAGGTAATATTTTTGTGAAGGTAGCCAAGAAAAGAAAAAAAAGTTTAGTTTGGGACATATTTTCCCCATACCATTTAATGGTGCTGTGATGTATTTTTGGATTCATTCTTCACTCTGTCACAATGCAAATCCCATTTGCTAGCAAATTTTTCCACTTTACTTTCAAAATATATCTAAAAGTTGACCACTTTTTATTCTCTCCAAACCCTATCACTTGTTCTAGCCACTCATTTCTTACCCAGTTATAGTAGCTTTCTAACTGATCTCCCTGCTTCTGCCCTTGCCCCCTGTCTGTTCTTAACCAGCATCTGAATGATCCTTATAATAATCAGGCCATCCTTCTCCTGGAGTAAAAGTCAGAGGCCTTACAGAAGGCCTTTATGGCCCTTGCTTTCTGTCATCATCTTCTGTTCTTTCTCTCTTTTGCTCACTTCACTCTAGCCATATTGGCCTCCTTGCTGATCCTTGAATTAGTCAGATGTACTCCCTGTTGCAGATCTTGAAGTTCATCTTTCCTTTGAAGAAGGAAGGCTCTTTCCCAGTCATAGCTTACTCCTTTTGGGTCTTTAGTCATATGTCAGTTCTTTAGTGAATCTTTCTCTGGCCATTCAATTTGAAATTGCAGTTCTCTTCCCTGTAAGTATTTTCTCCCTTTGGTTCATTTGTCTCCTTAGCTTTCATCACCATCTACATATGTGCTCTTCATATTTTTATTTATTTTAAATATATATATGTACATACATATATATTTCACACACACACAATTGATTTCAGAGAGGAAAGGAGAGGAAGAGAGAAATAGAAGCATCAGTGATGAGAATCATTGATCTGCTGCCTCCTGCACACCCCCTACTGGGGATTGAGCCTGCAACTGGGACCTGTGCCCTGACTTGGAATTGAACTTTGACCTCCTGGTTCATGGGTCGTTACTCAACCACTGAGCCACACTGATTGGGCTATTTTCTTTATTTTCATCTCTCCCAACTGGAATTTAAGATTCATAAGTACAAGGACTTTTGCTTTATTCATTGCTATATCTCTAGCACCCAACACTGTGCTAACATATAATAGACCAGAAGCCCAGTGCATGAAATTCGTGCATGGATGGAATCCCTAGGCCTGGCTGGCAATCAGGGCCTATCTGAGCTGTCTCGCCCCATCCTGATTGGGGCCAGGCTGGCTGGGGCCTGCCAGTCTGGAGGAGGGTTGGGGGAGGGACCATGGGAGGTTTGCTGGCTGGGGGGAAGAACCAAGGGAGGTAGTCTGGCCATGGGAGGTTGGTGTGGGAGCTCACTGATCACCAGGGGTCAGCTCCTGCACTGAGCATCTGCCCCCTGTAGTCAGTGTGCATCAAAGCAACTGGTTGTTCTGGTTTGATCATAATAGTTGCTTAGGCTTTTATATATATAGTAGAGGCATGGTGCACGAATTCTTGCATGTGTGGGGTCCCTAGGCCTGGCCGTTGATCGGGGCCAATCAGAGCTGTCTCACCCAGTCTCAATCTGGGCCATAGGGACTGACCAGCTAGGGGGAGGAGTCGTGGGAGGGCACTGACCACCAGGGGGCAGCTCCTGCATTGAGCGTCTGCCTCCTGGTGGTCAGTGAGTGTCATAGCCACTGATCATCTGATCATTCAGTCGCTTAGGCTTTTATATATAAAGATACAGTTAATAGTTGTTGACTTACTGGATTAATTAATAGTATGCCTCAGATATCCTGGAACAGATGTGTATAATTTACTATATACCCTATTTCATTTTATAAAGAATTAGAGGTAAGAAAGTATCTAGTAAACTAGAGCCCATGAAATGATTTATTTAGACTGGAAGAGAGATTATCATGAAGCCATGCCAATACATGAGGTAGCTTAGAGTATAGAACCAGAAGAGGACTAGGGATGGGATCCTGAAAATAACTCCATGTTAGTGTTGACCAGAGTAGCACTGTCTTTGAACTTAGCAAAGTGGGGATCCTGTTTGGGCCTGTGCTTTGGAGTTCCTCATCTGGCCTTCCTCCAGCTATGCCCCTCCTGATAAAATTAGGATTTGAGGAAGAGCTGAATTAGTCCATCTGTATCTTTTTCTGGTCAAGTTCTGAGTATTTAAACCCCTGCCCATGTGGCCCTTCACAGGCCTCTTTTCTGATCCTCTCCTCTCTTGACTATATAGCCTAAAGGATGGTCAAAGGGTATCAATTTGCAGGCATGTGGCCAGAGCTTGGGATGCTCCATGTATGTATATGAGACTTCTTGTAGTATGGAGTGGAGCCAAAGTTGGGAAGATATAAAGAGACAGGCTGCAGGCCAGGTGTGTGTGTTGTGTGTGTGTTGGGGAGGGGTGGTATGTTTCACCCATGTTCCATAGAACTTGAGGGAGTCTGAAAAGTTAAAATCAGAACTTAGCCTTTTAGATTGTTATAAAAGTATGTATGGCAAGATGGCAAGATAGAAAGATAGAATAATAATTTGATAGCTTGTTAGCTTGATTTATAACTTTTAAAATATCTACTTTATCTGGTATATGGATTTCCATTGTAGCCTTGTTCCAACTTCCTTGAAAATTAGGGGTGAGTCTGTAAGAAGAAATTGAAAAGGAGGAGCTAGAGAGGGAGAAATAAATTCAGAATAGAGTTTCAAGGAGGATATGAGCAACAGTGAAGACAGAAATGTGTCCATTGAATTGGATAACCAGAATTTAGTAAAACTTTAGTTGGTGGTAATTGATGACAAGCGTCCATAAAAGGTGGAGAACCTGAGAAATTAGAGAGGAGACAGAATATAGAAGACTTTTCTTCTAGAACATTATCCAAGAAAGGGATCAGGGCAGAAGCTGGAGGAGGATGCAGGTCACGGAGGAGGCCTGCTCCATGGTTAAGCGAGAGTCTTGTAAATGTTTAGACATTGAGGAAGAGGACCCGGTATTAAAACAGATAAGGTTAGGAAAGGAAAGGAAATAATTGATGGAGCAAGGGCTAACTAAGCTCCAGGGAATAGGTCAGTGGAGTAGCTTTTGAAAGGAGGAGGGCTTGAGAGGAGGGTTGGGATGTTGGGATGTGTCTGGAATGTACATTTGGAGGGTGAGAGTGCTGGAGGAAGGTGACTTAATAGGCAATAATATATTATCAACATTGCTTTATAGTAGTTTTTTGGGTTAGTTTTTAAAAACCTGGGGATCAGGGATTATATCCTGCAGCCACTTGAAATATAACCCCTAATATGGGGCATAGACTGTATATGTTGAATCTGTCCTTACTTAGTAATTGTTATTTAGTAGTGACTTGCAATTTTAAGTTTGGTAAAAACCTCATTTCTCAATACCCTAGAAAGGATTTATTATTATATGTATTATAAGGCTTTGGAGATGGTTTGTAATAAGTACATACTGTCTGAATTATACTTACTTTGGGAAAAATATTTTTAACAGAATTATATTAATACTGTCTTTTCCCCCCCACTATTAGTTCCAGAGAACTGCTGGTTTATGTTTTAGCTCTTGCCAAATTGTGAAAATAGTGAAGGATGCTTAGACTACTTAACATTCAAATTGTAAGTAAAATTTATCTACGTTATTATTATCTATATGTTTAGAAAACAGAAACTGAAAATAGTCATTACCTTATATGATAATGGTGAGCTTCAGTGTGTGGGGCTATGGATTTTTCTTATTTCTTTTATTAAGATACAAATAATTCATTTCTGTTGATAAGATAAAAAAGGAGATAGTAGTACTGAATGGTCTTAAATAATGAGGTGACATTTTTGTCTTCCCCCACCCCCCAGATATTTCTTTTGCTTGTAGGAGTTTATGGAAATAGTTAATTATTTCCACATTTCCATGGTACCAGTAAACTTAATAGAGGATATAATATTAATGGAATGATTTATTAGAAATTTGTTTTCTCTTTATAGTTTTTGCTGCATTTTTAAATTTTTATATGATAAAATCCTATAATCTCTGTAATTTCTCTATGAAAAATTTAACATTCACAAAATCAAATAAAGTGTAACTTTTTAGGAATAATCTAATGCATAAGTCTAGATGGTGTACATACTGAAATTCATTCCTACTGAGGAAAACTAAATTATGTTTACTTGAAACTATTTGCTGTATTGCATATTGAACCAATAGCAAAAAAATTATTGAGGAAAGAATAATAAAGTAATATTTAAGGTATTCCAAGTGACTTCACTAGTTTATTTTCAAACTACTCTCTTAGAAAGTACAAGGTACTCAAATTAATCTGTTTTGTAGTTCTTGTAAAGTATTCAAAATGTGACCACAAAATTAGATTGCTGCCATAGCAAAAGACAGTTCTAATTATTCAGATAAATAACCTAAATGAGCCAAAGAAGAACAGTGAAATATTTACAAACCAATAAATCTTTTGATTTTGTCATATAGGCAAATCATTTTAGAAGTTGTCACGGTCCAGCACATTTCATGTCTTCATGCATAAAAGATTTAAAAAATATCTATGAAAACATTTCAGAAATAAAAGAACACTTTCATAAAGATAGAAAGTTAAAACATTTTATATCTTAGAATATAAATATCATGTCATGAATGTTCAGTAGCTTGGTAAGAACTTAATTTCAGTGAACTTGGCAATGCTAAAAAGTAGAATGCTCATTACTGCCCTCTTTTGACACAGGGCTGTATGAGCATATCTCCTTTTTATACAAATGTTAAAAATTAGATTGCAAAATAGGTTGTGCTTTATATCTTTCCTATAAATTTTTAATAATTTTTCAAAATTCTTCCTCTTTTTAGGCTCTCTGGTTAATCATCTTTAGAAGACTGGATTTCTGGACATCATCTCCATTCTTCTATTGACTTTTAAGATATGATAATGCAAACCTTTAACACTGGCAATCATCCATGAACCTTTAATTGCACTGATTAATAGTGTTTCAAGCTTCCTCAGGGAATATACAATGACATCAGCTGTGGTTGACAGTGGAGGAGGTTCTGTTTTGGAGCTTTCCAGCAGTGGAGTAGAGAATCAAGAGGTTAGGCATCCAATGTATTATGTTACTGTTTTGTTCATAGATTTCAATGCGTAATCTTAGTTTTGAAATTAATGAAAAACAGGTATTTGAGAATAGAAATGTATGATTGAAATTGTACATTTACACATGTGTCTTTATATAATTTAAGCAATAGAAGGTTGAGGGAATGTACTGCTGGACTCACCTGAATTGTTGGAACATGCATATATTGGAATGAAGTGGGAGAAAAAATTGAAAGAGAGAATACTGTAGTATTAGTTGAGAGAGAGATTTTAAAATTTATTGTTTTGTATTATATAGTCTATAGATATATACTATACCTAAATTAAATTAATCTTAAATTATAATTTTGTATCTCCTTTAGTTGTCATCTTTGGTGTTGTCATTTTTTTATTATATCTAATTCAGTGTGAGGATCCATTATATTTTAATCTAATATATATGTATACATCTATATGTGTGTATTTAAGACTTTAGATAATTTGTAAATCAGTAAAGAAATTAAGGTTTTGAAATTTTATACATGTAGAATTTTTTACATTATTAATTAGCATTTTGGGTTATTTTCATGTTATTGATGGCATTAAGTAATCAGAGATGGGAATAGAAAAATATAGTACCAGAAACATAAGAACTTCCAGGCCTGGCTTCTGTTCCCACTAATGGGAAGGAGCTAAATTAAAATAGAATAATGAGGTGAAATGGACACTAATGAATAAATATTTGGTCAGATATGAGGTGGGAAAATGGAGAGTTTACTACTACATTTAGAAAATTTGTTTTCTCTATAGTCTTTGAAAGATACTGCTGTTATTGGTACTTAGTACTAGCATAGTGGTATAGTGACATGACTGAGAAACAAGTTAGGGCATCAGGCTGTGTGTTCTGCAATCTGGGGTCTTTTGCTTGCTTGCCTAGTGTCTTGCTTGGTGTCTGTCAGTCTTCTAAGATAGCGATGTGCAAGTTCAGTGGGAAGGAGATAAAGCGAAGCTTACTATTTTTCCTTGGTTCTCAATGGACTTGGTAACTCCTGTCGTATAAGAATCTAAAAGTTGCCGAACCGGTTTGGTTCAGTGGTAGAGCATCGGTCTGTGGACTGAAAGGTCCCAGGTTTGATTCCGGTCAAGGGCATGTACCTTGGTTGCGGGCACATCCCCGGTGGAGGGTGTGCAGGAGGCAGCTGGTCTCTCATCGATGTTTCTAGCTCTCTATCTCTCTCCCTTTCTCTCTGTAAAAAATCAATAAAATATATATTAAAAAAAAAAATCTAAAACTAGTTCAGTCCATTAAGGGAAGCCACAGCTACAGAACATACTTTATTCTTGTGATCAATGTTTACTTCTTCCTTGAAGATTTACTTACTTTCTTTTTTTTTTTAAATATATTTCATTGATTTTTTACAGAGAGGAAGAGAGAGGGACAGAGAGTTAGAAACATCGATGAGAGAGAATCATCGATCAGCTGCCTCCTGCACACACCCCACTGGGGATGTGCCCACAACCAAGGCACATGCCCTTGACCGGAATCGAACCCGGGACCTTTCAGTCCACAGACTGACGCTCTATGCACTGAGCCAAACCGGTTTCGGCTGAAGATTTACTTTCTGTAGGATCACTTTCAGGTTTGATTCACCAGAGATCAAGGACCTGGGGGATTTCCATCCATTTCACCCAAACCATTTATTGCTGCTGTTTTAAGAGCTTTCTTTTTGTATTATAGCTTTTCTTTGTTGGTATTTAACCGTATGAAGAGAGATGCTGACAATAATAGGCAGAATATATTTACCTTGTGCTGATTTGGTACCGTCACTATGGAAAAGAATACAATAGTTTATTTCCATGTAAATATAAGGAAGACTCATACTTTTCTTCCTTTACATGGAATCCCAGGTGTTCTTGGCTTAGAGAACTAATTATAAAAGAGAGTGTGACAGTCTCACTGAATTGAGGAAACAAAATTCGGAATTTGGAGAGGCTAACAACTAATTTCAGGGACAGTATCAGAGGAAGAATATCAGAAGTCTGCCCTAGTCTTTAGCTGAGTGAGATGCCCAGGTATAGTATGTAGTTCTGTGAAGCCAGGCAAAAAATGACCAGAACATGTGTAAATTCAGTGAATTACTGAAAAATCTATAGCGTTCACTCAGTGGTGGGAGAAACTAGTTTCAGTTAATGTAGAGAGGAGAACCCAGGACATTCATGAGAGACTCTAGAAGTCATGCCTTATGGTCAGGCTACAACAGCTCTACAACAAAGGGTACTCCAACTTGCCCTAAAAAGTTTAAAAATAGGCCTGGAAAGATGATCCATAAGTATCTACCCTAGTAAACATTAAAAGAAGACAACAAAAGTAGAACCCAACTTCGTAAAATCTGCATATTCAGCACCCACCCATGTTAAATGCAAAGGAGCTGGCATAAAATCTATAACTTGGAGAGAAAAAACTTAATGACAACAAACAAGATAGGGATGATGAAATTAACAGGTAAGACTTCAGAACAGCTATTTTAAATATGCTCAGGAAGTTAAAAGACTTTCAAGAGCTTCTACTCAGGCAGTCAGTAAGTGGTGTCACTGGTTAGTTCTTGGACACATAGGGCCGGCTTGGTCAGGAACCAGTCTGGGCTACAGGAGGGACCCTGTGTTACATGTTTGTTCAGCAGGTATATGTCCCCATGAAAAGAGTGCTGCTTTTTATTTTTTATGTCTATGCTCTTTGTGGTCTTCTTTCAGCGTTAGGAGAGTATCGAAGAACACACTGGGAGGTGAAAGGAGTGTTCACAGCTGATGCGGGTGGCAAGGAAAGGTGGGGCGAAGGGGCCATCAAAGCAAGCTCGCTATGAATGAAAATCTGGAATAGGCTTATCTGGACGTTCTGTGCTTAGAAACAACATCAGTGTTGATCTTGGAGATGGCAGTTTGTCGTGCTGTCTCGGGAGTCATGTTGCTGCAGTCTGGGCTGTTGCCCTTTACGTCCAGTGCACAGCTGCATGCTGGAACCTCTCTTCCCAGGCCTCACTGAAGATCGCTGTCATCCCTCTCCCAGCTTTGGTCTCCTGCATGTTCTGTATACTAAGTCATCTTTCTGTTGTTGCTAAATTACATATTTACTCTTTTTTTTAAATATAGAAAACATTCTCCAGTTGCTTCTTGAGAAATAATGCAGGGAAGGTAAATGTGGGCTTTTTCATGTCTGAGAGAAGGCTTTCATAAGACGGTTTGGCTGGGTGAAAAATTTAGGTTGGAAATAATTTTCCTTTATAACTTTGAAGAAATGGTTCCTTTGTCGTCTTCCTTCCAATATTCGGACTGAGAAGACTGGACTGAGTCTCAAGTCTGTGTGTGTGATGTGTATTTTCTTTCCAGAAGGTTGTAGAGTCTTCTTTTTGCCCCCAGTATTACAATACTTAACAACTGAGGTGTGCCTCAGTATAGATCTCCCTTAATTTTTTTTTACTAATTATTTGGTTGGTCCTTTCAAATGGGCAGCTTTAGGTCCTTCAGCTCTAGAAAAATCTCTATTAATTCTTTGATTTCTTTCCACCCTCCCCTTTTCCCTCTCCATATTCTTTTTTCTGTAATTCCTGTTATTCATATATTGGCCTCCTGGACTGTTTTCTGACATTGTTCTCTTTTCTAGTGCTTTATCTTTTTTTTCTCTGGTTCTTGGAAGACGGTCTTAGTTTTATCTCCCAAGCCTCTGTATTTTCATTTTGGTTATTGTGTTTTTAATTTCTAGAACTCTTTATTTTTTAATGTTATTTATTTATTGAATTCTGTTCTTATTTTATGGATATAATACCTGTGAGGAACATTAATATGTGTGTGTGCATGTATGTATATATTCTGTCTTAGACAACTAGTAATACTTGGCTATCTGCTTGTGATTAACAGCTCAGGACTACAATGCTGACTGGAAACGGTTTTTGGTTCAGTACTGACACTAGCAAACGTGCCTAATAGACCTCAAAGGTTCTCTAGTGTCTCCTCTCCGATCTTCTGCCCCAGTGGGAGGCTGGTTACTAAGCACTGTGGAGAAGGGAGTGGGTCTAGAAACCAGAGTGCTTTTCAAACAGGCTTAATGGGATCTTCCTTGTTTGAGCCTCCTCTTTCTCTACCCCTGCTGCTGCTTCACTTCCAGAATTAATTTGAGATTTTGCCTTCTGCGGGTCCTCTAGTGTCTGTGCTGTTTCTCAGCTGGCTCTGCTTCGAGGCTGTGATTTGGCTTTCCTGGGTTCACTAAGCCACTTAATATTCACCCATCACTTTCAGTCTTCCAAGGTTTTGTTACTCTTATCTCTTCTCCTTTGTAGCTTTTATCTCTTCTCCTTATATAGTTGTTTAAAAGTCTTTTGCTGCTTTGATGAGAGTGAAATTATATGCGTGTTTTTAATTTGCCATCTTAATTCTAAAATCCCGATTATTTAAAATGTGTATTAGTCTAAGTTTCACCTCTTAAGACTTGGACAGATTATTAAAGTTAACCCTTTGCATCTCTTGTTTTGTTTTGTTTTACATTCATATTTATATTGCATTAAACTCATTGTGTGGATTCCTTGAGACTCTAGGAACTCAAGGCTTTATAAGTGAATCCAGCATTTGTGAATAAAAAAGTTGATTGTTTTTTAAATTTGCTCTTGTAGGAAAGTGAGAAGGTTTCTGACTATCCAGCAGTGATTGTGGAGCCAGTTCCAAGTGCCAGATTAGAGCAGGGCTATGCTGCCCAGGTTCTGGTTTATGATGATGAGACTTATATGATGCAAGATGTGGCAGAAGAACAAGAAGTTGAGACCGAGAATGTGGAAACAGGTAGACATCTCATCACATATTTATTATTTCTAATTTTCTTATTTTGTGTCATCGTTGCTACTGCCAGATGAATAATATACCGAAACCCCTTCCTTTTAATGCTATTTAGTATAGATTGGAAAGTAGTGAAACATCTCTTGTTTAAGAAAATTAATATGGACATAGGAAGTTCTCTATTATAATTTTTGAGGAAAAACAGAGTCTTATATCATGGACCCTAAGGACAAAATTACAGGCCCACAATAATTATTTGGATATTTTTTTTTTGGAAGTGCTAAAGTTGACTAGTAGTTATTTACTTGTATTAGAGGTCAGTAGGCTAGTATATGAGGGTAACTTTTTTAAAATTTAAACATAAATAGGGTATTCTCATTCAGTAACAGGTTAAGAGTTTCTTTGAATCAGTATTGATGGAGCAGTATGATTCCTTTTGTCATAGGTCAGAGTATCTTTGCGGTAATCTATCAGAATCTTCTTCCCTTTAAGACTTAGAAATTGTGGTGTTTCAGTCTGTCTGTGGTAAGATAACTGTAAGTTTAATTGGGGTTAGTGTGCATAATTCTTGGAGAAACCTTTTAACTTTTGCCATTGACTATAAAGAAAATAAGAGTTTTACTGGAAGGATTGCAGTGACCCTTTTATTATAATAAACATTAAAATTTATCTTTGGCTATTAATGGTGAAAAAGAATCCTTATGCTTGGTGTTCTAGTAAAAATTCATAAGCATTTTGATAAATTCCTATAAATGTAGCAAAGTCTCGTGATTAAACATTGTGGGAACTGGACGTCTTGCCGTGTGCGGAGGCCTAGGAGCACGGTGCAGCACTGCCAGCTTCTTCCAGGTGAAAGCTGTTCTCCAGCCTTACTTGTTGTTGAGCTGAGGGATTGGAAGCTCCCTTGCTCTTCAGAGCTTCAGAGCGATGGCAACAACAATGCCAGCAAACCCCAGGTGACTTGGTGACCAGTTCATTTTCAAAACAGGTTGCCAGACATTTTAGATGGGCACGGTGATTGTGGTCTGTGGCACTTGATTTATGATAGGTAATGCAAGTGGCAGGAGGATACATGTATTTTTCTGAGAGTTTGGAGAGTTTTCCAGTCAGAAGGTAGAAGTCTACTGGCAGAGATGAATTTTCTTCTTGAGGAAAACAATAAGCAAGAACAGCTAACAGTATTATGCATGATGAAGTAGCTGTTGAAAATGATTTTATTATAGGAGCATAAATAAACAGAAAATTAATAGTATAAGAACAAAAAGTCTGATAGGTAAAATTGAATGAAAAAATAGAATTTGAGTGAAATTTCTGTAAAATGTTCAAAAGCATAAGGAAGGCTATGATTTTAGTAGCAAATTAGAAATTAAAACAAATGAAAACTACAGTGCCAAGTTGCATCAGTAGAACATTGTTTTATCATAAAATATTTATCACGTTAAAATACCAGAGCATGTTGGTCAAATCTTATTGGTTGTGCAGTGCTTCATTAATTTAAATTACTTAGATAAAAACAATTCCAAATAGGAAGCAAATATAAGCCACTTAAGGGATTTGATTTTCTTGGTCTTGAACTCTGAGGGTGATGATATCATTTGCAAGGCAGAAATATAAGTAATTGTGATATTGAAAAGGAAGATATTCAAAAGTCTGGGTAAAGTAATAGCTATTTTTATGATATTTTAAAAGTGGTTTTTGAATACTTGATGACATTTTTTTTAGATTTATTTATTTTAATACTAAAAGGAAATGTTAGTAAATAATTCACATTATTCTAAAATAATCTAAGTGTACTGAGAAGTTCATCTTAAATTTTTTAAAATTTTTATTTTTGGTTAATCCTCACCCAAGGATATTTTTTCCAATGATTTTTAGATAGAGTGGAAGGGAGGAGAGACAGAGAGAGAGAAACATTGATGTGAGAGAGGCGCATTGTCTGGTTGCCTCCCGCGTGCACCCTGACTTTGGAGCCGGAGACCTAGCCTGCAACCAAGGTATGTGCCCTTGATCAGAATCTAACCCAAGACCCTTCAGTCCACAGGCCGGCACTCTATCCAATGAACCAAACTAGCTAGGGTTCATCTTAATTTTTAATTACATACTGGCTCATGGATTTTTAATGAAATCTATGCTTACTTTATTCTAAAAATAAAGGTTAGTATAGTATAATTATTCTTTTCTCTCTCTTTACAGAACAACACTGAAAAACTTTAGAATTCAGATTAATTGTTTTAAAAAGACAATGCCAAATTCATACTAAAAACTGCTGGCACATACATCTATAATCACAACAATTTAAAACACTTGTATTTGTTCATCATAAGGCATGCAGACCATGGAGTGAGTCTATAATATACTGACTTACTTGACAATACTGTATTGTATCTCATGGATTTTTAATAACTTTATAAGGTTGGTTGATATATATAGATTAGTTTAAAATAGTTCATCAGAGCTTAATTTTGTTTTTATTTAAAGAACCAAATGCATTTTTAAGTGAGTTGAAATCTGACTAAATTTTCATTCTTCTGACAGCTAACATCTAGAATGTATACAAAATTAATGAAGGTTGTTATGATTTGTTCTAATACATGTTTCCTTTTGAGTAGTGGAGTAGGAGCAGGCTCATTTCTGTTGGTTTTCACTTAAATTCCAGAGACCTGCAAATTTTGGAGAAAATGAATGGGAAGAAAAGCAAAGGAATATTTATAAAATAGTTATATCAGTTTTTATTTGGGGAATTGGTAGAAATGAGATAAATACAGAATAAGATTTCCTTTTGTACATCTAGGGAACACTTCCTGAAATGTTCCTATATTATAACTTAGTTAAATACATTTAAAAATGTTCATAATTAACCTGGTGTGGCTCAGTGGTTGAGTGTCAACCTATGAACGAGGAGGTCATGGTTCGATTCCTGGTCAGGGCACATGCCCAGATTGTGGACTCAATTCCCAGTGGAGGCAGCCAATCAATGGTTCTCTCTCATCATTGATTTTCTCTCTTTCTCTTCCTCTCTGAAATCAATAAAAATACATAAATTTAAAAATGTTTGTAATTATGTCAATTTTCTGCATGTTTACAATATGTTTTTCTTCTTTTATTCCTATGTTTCCATATGTATGAATCCACACGAGAAACAGTGTTCATGATGTCATCCAGGCAGGAGTACTGTAATCATATAATGATATATATTTAGCCATTTTTATTATTTTGTGAGTAAAATAATTCTAATTTTGTTAGGTTTAATTATAGACTAAAAGTCTACATTTTCCTCACAGAGTTTATATGTAATTATAATCGTCTCTTAAAATTTATAGGGAAAATTAAATATGTTTTGAAACTTTAAAAGTAGGCATATTCACGTAAATCTATAAACTGCTTTTTTGATGATAGCTTAGAGTTAGTAATCATAAAGAACGTTTGAAGACTAGCAATGCAGTCTGGCTGAAGGTGGTCTTGAATGGTGGGCAGGAAATACTCTGTCAGGGATTGCAGCCTCTACCAGTTCTGGAGGCTGTTCCTGAGACTGATGGGGTGAGTTGGGGGTGGAGAGGAATCTCTTGAATTCCATACTAAGATTGGAAAATGCAGTTTTTATGTTTACTCAAAATATATGTTTATTATATGACTGCAAATTTTAAAAGGTTGTTACAGATTACTATTTTAAAAGTAATAAGTTTATGTCAGTGCAATTAATAATAGCTTTTTAAAAATATATTTTATTGAAATTTTACAGCGAGGAAGGGAGAGGGATAGAGAGTTAGAAACATAGATGAAAAAGAAACATCGATCAGCTGCCTCCTGCACACCCCCTACTGGGGATGTGCCTGCAACCAAGATACATGCCTTTGATCGGAATCAAACCCGGGGCCCTTAAGTCCACAGGCCGTCGCTCTATCCACTGAGCCAAACCTGTCAGTGCAATAGATAGCTTTTTAAATTTTTATTTATTAATTTGAGAGAGAGATTTGTTGTTCCACTTATTTTTGCATTCATTGGCTGATTCTTGTATGAGCTCTGACTGGGGACTGAACCTGCAACTTTGGTGCATCAGGATGAAGCTCCTGGCCAGGGCAAGACTATCTAATAAAAGGGTAATATGCAAATTAACTGCCACTCCATCACAAAGATGGTGCCGCCCATAGCCACAGGATGGAGGCGCCTAGTCCTCTCAACCCCGCCAGCGTTCCCCAGTACTGGGAGTGGGGCGGCCGCTGAGAGAGGACAGCGTGAGTGGACTGGCGGAATGCTTGCTTCGTTGCCACAGCGATGAGGCAAGCGTTCTGTGCCCGGCGGTGGATGGGTCTCTGGGCCAGGGAGAGCCTATGGGCAGTGGGCATGGAGCAGCCAGGCCCTGCAGAGAGCTACTGGTGTGCAGGACTACAAGTAATAGATAAGTTTTGATAGAAATCTTTTAAGACTTGTTTGAGAAGCCAAAACTGGTTTGACTCAGTGGTAGAGTGTCTGTCTGCGAACTGGAAGGTCCCGGGTTCGATTCTGGTCAAGGGCGTGTACATTGGTTGCAGGCACATCCCCGGTAGGGGGTGTGCAGGAGGCAGCTGGTCGATGTTTCTCTCTCATCGACGTTTCTGGCTCTCTATTTCTCTCCCTTCCTCTCTGTGAAAAATCAATGAAATATATTAAAAAAAAAAAAAAAAAAAAAAAAAAAGACTTGTCTGAGAAGATTGAGCTGTTTAGGCTCTCTGCCTCTTCATCCTGCACTTAAATTTTACTGAAATTTATGAGAATATATTAATAAGTACTTTACATTTTTTATGTACAAAGGCACTTTTTTCAACATGTTTCAGAGAAAAGCTCAATTTACAGGATAAGGAAATGTTTTAGATAAAGTGAAGAAGGAGGACACTTGGTAGGATTTGGATAGACAGATAGGAAGTAGACGAAAGGCACTTTATTTATTTATTTTTTCCAGTTTTCAGATTCTTTTATCTTTATTCAATGTTAAAAGATAGGAAAAAGGCATCCTATATTAATGCATAAAA